TTTCAATTTTTCGATGTTTTTCGTCGCATTGTGATGACGTCACATACGCAATTTCGTTGACCGCGCTTTTGTGGAACGCGGTTTTGACGGGTCACGTTGTTCACTGTGGAATATTTTTAACAAACACAGAAAAACACCGTAATTGCAGAGTCCCCAAAATGCAGTCAAATAACCATGAGGTGGGGGTGGTTGCGGCCATCAGAACTTTGGAACCAATCGTAACTACATTTTCGGGGTGGTGGTCCTGCTCCCTGCTAGAAGTGACCTGTGATGGGCATCCATGTTCTTCCTGGTGGCCTTTCAAACATGGCTTCTCTTGGAAACTGATCTTGGTCTTCTTTAACATTTTTTTGGCACTCAAACAAGCAGGACGTTCTCCCCACACCCTGCCCCGTGCCTAAAAGGACAGAATTGGATTTTCTTTCCTGAAAGCAATGATTAAAATGCACTTCAAAACACTCATCCTGGCAATTCTTCTGAGAAACTACATTGTAATGTAGGAGGAGGGTGCAGGTTGGTTTATTTATCCAAACGTTTGAAGGAATCTGCCCCCCCCCTTTTTTCCAGATGGACAAATCTTATTAAAAACGCAACTTTTGCTTCTGGGTTACTTTCAACATGGGCTCGTTTTGAAGAAAGGAAGGGCTGCAGGGCACGCAATATTAGTTTCTTTGCCTTCTGACTCCCTCCTACACAAGCCGAGTCCTGCACAAGCAGTTTTAACTCTCTGCAGGCTTGCCGCCTTCCTACCAAAGGGTCACTTTCTACATTTAGATGAATCGGCCTATTGATTGAGCTTCTCTTCTCTCGGCCTAAAACTGAAGCTGGAGGGACCACATGGCCAAATTCTCTTTTCCTTCATTGCTGAACTAATGGCCCTTCCTGCAGATTTAAAACAAGCATGTTTGCCCACAAGCTATTTTTACTCCCTGCGTAGGGAGCTTTTTCTTTTTCCACACAGGGCTGCATTCCACATACTGTACCATCTCTCCCCCCTCCCCACCCCCCACCCCAAAGGTCATCTAATCCAGCAAAAGCTTTTTAGTTGATTTTGTGGAACATTTATAAAAACAGAATGGGGGTCTGTGTCGCATTTCAGTTTAGTTTTTCATTTTTCTCTTCTTGAATGGAAATGAAAGATCTCCCATAAGTCAAGCTCAAAATCCTATTGTGGGCATGTCAATGATTTTTTAAATTTAAAACAAAAACTAACTGAGATTTTTTTGTTGCTTTTCTGGTCCCCACCCTGAAATTTCCAGTCTACTTTAGTTTCCCGGTAGTCCATGTTAATGTTTTGCAAATTTAGAAACTTTAAAGATGTGTGGACTCCCAGAATTCCCCAGTTGGCACAGCAAACACTGGTAGTCTCTCACATCAAATAACAAATATTGAAACCTATTGAAAAGTTTCCTCGTTGGCATGCAAGTCCAAAGTTTATTTGGAGCTGTGCAGGGATATTCAATTCTGATCCTCCTCCAGGTGGCCTGTGCAGTTCCATTTCACAAAAGACTCTTCCACCTTCTTTATTCTCACAAACATGAATACGGCCATTTATTATTATTTTTAACTGCAGAAGAGGATTAGCAGTTTGCTGGCGAGATAATAGCATTATACCCTGGAAATGCAACAAGAGCTATGCGTGAGTAAACAGTAAGTAAATATTTGCAGTTCTGGAAGAAAGAACTGTCATGGTAAAGTGTGGGAGGGGGAGGCAAAGCTTGTTAAGATTTATATAAGGCAGAGTAGGCCTAAATTAGCCCTGTCTGTTTAATGATTCGCAAGACTGCTGCTCCTTATCCCTTTTAATTGAATTGTGTTAACTGGGGAAACAATTACGTTTCACAATGGCAGACTCCACATCTGGATGATTTTGTCATTTGTTCATTCAGATTCTCTTTATATACTCTAATGGCTGTACAATGAAGCACTACGAACACACAGAAGCAAAGCTATGCAATATTTTTTTAAAAAATATCCAAAAGCATTTTTTCACAGATTGAACATTTTTCCTGCTGCCACTGTTAAAGACAGAATTTTATTTACCGATATTACCTTATGGAGACTGGATCCCTTCCTTCTATTGACCTTGAAACATGCAAAATACTGGACTAATTAATCAACCACCGCTTCAATAGCACTGATAATTCTGTTTCCTGGTCAGCTTAAATAGAAATAAAAAGATCAGAGAGTTTGTTGAAAGATAATACAGATCACGTCACATCACCTGATGAGAAGAGTAATCAGGATGATGAGGGGACTGGAGGCTAAAACATATGATGAACGGTTGCAGGAAC